TGTAGCGAATAGAATATAACGCAAAAAAAGTTTTTTTTGACCTTAAAATTCAATCATTCAATCACGATAGTTACTTTCCTTTCCACCCTGTACATACTGCGATCGTGCTCGTTAGACTGTTCTCATGTTTATGCAAATTGATGTTTTTTGTCGGCTCTAATTGAAATTGTACTGTCGAACGTCGAACGAGAATTTACTTTGCCTGCAAGTAAGAGAAGATATTCAATGAGAAATTCTCTCGCAGTTTAGCGAAAGAGAAGCAAAAGAAAAAGAAAAATTGCAAGTGCAACAGATTTTAACCGATCGTTGCGAAGGGAATAGTTCAAGGACCACCATGGTGGATGTAGTTATGAGAAACAATTTTTCAGTGTCCGCAAGGACGTTCGAATTTGCAAACTTCTCGAGATTTTTCCATTTGGTGTTCTCACGCTTGATGAAAAATTGTCGGCACTTTAAACAGTGTAACTTCTCCCCTTACGAAAGAGAAAATCGCGAAGCAATCAAATTGGACTCGTTCCAAAGTGCGAAGCTTTCTACTTTCTCATTTCCGGGTTCGTTTCTTTCACAAATACTTTTTCTTTCTTTTCTTTTGGACATCGTTCTGAAAGGGAATATTGAGTAAATATACCTTTTTCTCTCGAAAATTTTATAAATTCGGAAACCAGCGGTCTTCACGGCTGCTGGAAAAATTTTTTCGCAACAAAATTCACCGCAATTCTGAAGCTTAAAATCTCCCCTTTGCAACGCGTCCCGTTAAAATTGATTAAAATTGGATTTCCTTCGCGAGGTTGCCGGGGTTTTAAAGTATCGACAATTTTTTTTTTTCATCGAGTGTACAGAGACTTTTCGAACCGTATTTTATCAGCTCCGGGTGGAATCATGGAATAATAAACTCGAAAGATTTATTTTACCTGCCTGAATTTAAATATTGAATCGACTGACGAGTGATATTGATTTTGCGGATATGACAGTGAATCGATTCAGTGTTTCGCGTCGCAATTAACATTTTTATCGTCGTTGACGGGAAGATTTTCGTCTGAATATTATTCACGCTGATATCTAACGTTTCGTTATTTTTTAATTAGTTTGATCTAGCAGCCAACGTTGTTACTTCGATTTTAAAATCAACTCTTTGCCCTCGGAAACATTTTTTCTAACATCTACTAGCAATTTATTTAGCGAGTGGAAGTATCATTTCAATTGAAATGGTATAACATTGGAAATAATCATCCTGTTGAAATGATATTTAGCATGAAACAGGATTTCTCTAATATGTGACGTTCGTTTGGAGCAATTACCAAATATAGCATATAGAAGTTAATAATAATACGTAATTTCAGTCTTCTGAAAAATTCCCTTCACTTTCATTTTATAAGCAATAAGAAGCCTAATTTATGTGAATTATTGAGTGTCAATTGACTCGACTTCGAAACTGTCTTCAGAAATTTCTTCTGAAATTCTTTTGTTCTTTTTACTGTAATTTTCACTCTAGACGTCTGTTCAGATATTATACTATTTATACATTGTGTCATACAACACCAAATGTATCAGCAAATTACAAAAAGAGAAAGTTCGAGCTGTTGGTTAGGACAGTCGACTACAGTCGACTACAGTCGACTTAAATGGAATGAAATTTACTTTGAAATAATCAGTGGATGGTTCTGCGATTGAAAAAACAGACCGAGTTTTATTCACAGCCAAGTTCACGAAATTGCAAGTTTACAGTTCAATTCTGCGACGATATTTGATGTTAAACGTTTCGAAATGCTGGCGCGCGTTTAAATTTCCCGCGTAAGCCAGCCACCAGGTCTGGCGATTATTATCCCCGTGATAATTGGATGGCACGTAACGCGTCGTAAGCGGCGCCGTTTAACCAGGATACCGATTACAGGCCGAGTTTTAGTGGCCTCTGCCCATCAAAGGGGTAAACTTGCTCTCGTGCCCGTTTAGTGCTTTGTTATTCCCCCATCCCAACACCCCAGTTCGAAAGTTTCTTCGTTCCATTTCTATTATAATGCCCTCCTCCTGGGCATTACTGCCGGTGGATATTAATAAATGGAAGTTTTCGAACAAAGAACGGAGAGCAGCAAATGAAGAGTAAAGAAGAACCGAGTAAAGAGTTACCGGCGTTAATTACTTTGAGTAATCGAAAGAAAAAAGAAAAAAGAAAGAAAAAAGAAAAATCATATTCTGCCAGAAACTCGGCTTCCTTCGAATTATTTTCGATGTAACGGGGAATGTTTTCCCCGATCTCAGAGAGGAAAGAAAGAAAGAAAGAAAGAAAGAAAGAATCGTTTCAATCACGCCGAGTTGCAACGGAACTCTCTCTCTCTCTCTCTCTCTCTTTTTCTCTGGCTTGCGTTTGGCAGCGTAGCTGTCAGCCAGAGTGACAAGGGTTAATATCCTCGACTCCTTGTTCCAGTCTTCTGCTAAATTTCTGTTGAATCATCGGGCAACGAGGAGGAAACGACTGGATCAACAACAAATGAAAAATCCGTCGGTTTAATTTCAACAACTGGTTTGAAACTGGACCGCGAATGCTCGCCAATTTATTTACTTTAATAGCAGAGCCGAAGCTTTGAAATTTCTTTTTTAATCACTTTATAACACAGGCACCCGCGAGTAGTGTCGTTTTATTTCTTCTTCTAATTTAGTAAACATTATCATCTAGTGACGATAATTAAAAAAAAGAGAAAAATGATTCGAGTTAAATAAAATTTTGTACAGTATCGAAAAAACGACAATAGTATAACGAGCATTCTGCTTTCGATGTTTTGTCCATTGTTAAATTTCTCACCGATGCATAAAAGTTCGCATTTCTTTTATGCTTTTACACACGTTTGAATTTTCACAATTTTCCAGGAGAAAGTATCCACGCGATGTTGAATCATCTTCGAAAAAGGAAAAAAAAAAAAAAAGAACGAATTCACGACTATCAAAGCAGAAGCTTCAAAAATAGCTTTAACAATAGAATTATCCACGAATAAAGAGTGAAGCTTGAAGAACGCAAACTATAATTCACATTATTTTGCGAGAAATCAATCAAATTTCTAAAATTTTGCACACTGTTGCGAAATCTATAAACTTTTCGAGATTACGTCATTATTGGTCGTTCGATCATTTTGCACATTTCATTTTCATTTCTTAGTCTCAGACCAAATGTATCGTTACATCTTTCTGTTTATATAACAGCTTAAATTATCAAGTATATTTGATCGATACTATTGGTTCAATTACGCCGTTCGCTTTATTTTTCAGAATGGAAGAGAGTTTCTAAAAATTCCAGAATCATCGCCTCACAGATTTTTCATTGATACGTGCGAAAGCAAGAAGTCGACACGATTTTGGACGTTCAACGACGGATCTTTCGGACTCGTGAAAAAATTGACAAAATGGAGAACCGTAATTGGTCGAGCTCGACACACGGACGAGTTTATCCCGCGAAAGTTTGATGATGAATGCGAGACCGTTGATAAATCTTGGAATCGTTCGAAGCTCTAGAGAGGGAACAGAGGTCTACGAAACTCGGTGCACGGGGAAAGTTTTACAGCGAGGACTAAGTTGAATTGTTTTCTAAGCGGGTGGCGGGCCTCTCGAGCCACGGTTTAAGGCGACGAGACTTGATTTTATAATGAGCCTGGCCGGATCCTCGTTCTCTTTCGACACGAACGTTCACGGAGGAGTAGGTGTCGATGCTTTTTCGATTTTTTTCCAACGTGGAGGATTCGAAAAGTTTCGAATCGCGTGGTGAAATTTTTAACGACTCGAGTGGTCACTGTCCGTCTGTTTTTGTTTTGGTCTTTTTTTTTTTTCGTTTTGCACTGGAAAATTGATCGGTCGCCGAATCGGTTTTATTTCACGAAAGAATACGTGATTTCTCTCTTTCATTCGAAATTCGATATATCACTCTTCTGATATTTATACAGGATAAATTTAATCTCTATTTTTATTTCATATTTCTAGTTCTTTTTTTTTTTTTTTATTACATGTGCTTGTACAAACTGTGCATTTTTGATAGATCACGTTTGATGGATCAATGCAGTCTCTCGTGAATCCCGTCACGATCGAAGTTCCGCAAAATATTGAAAGTTTAACGAATTGAAAATTCAATGAAATGAGGATAAACCATTGTAGAAATTAAGCGAGGTACATGATTCATTAATGGTAAAAAAAAAAAAAGAAAAAGAAAAAACTTCACAATACAGTAGAGCGCGTAATCGTTTTTTTATTCGTTCATTCTACTCAAAATCATTCAAATCTCTAGAAATACAGATGTCTCGCACATGTAAAGTTTCTAACAAAAATTTATTATTTCAAAGAAACATCGGTAGCGTTTGTTACAAATTTTCCAACAATTTCCTCTGGTCTTCTTTTTCTAAACTTTCTGCAAGTCTCGCGAAGCTAATTTATTCGATTACTTTACGAATAACACAAGAACGAATGGTTTCCACGTCTCCGTGTGACGCGGGAAGTTTGAAAATGCGGATTGAAAAATACACCAGGCGAGGTGTTCGTTAGATGTCCGCGAAATTAACGAGCTATCGCGTGCCTGACTCGACCCGGTGGGAGTTTCGAGCGAAGTGAAAAATTGCAGGCTGTCGGCGGTGATTAGGAGAGGGAAGGGACGCTCGTTATTGGAACGGAAGTGTTCCCTCAATCGTTTCCAAAGTTATCATATCCCATCGAGCCGATGACGACGCCTCGACACGTTTATTAGATTAGATTATGCTCGCGAAACGTGGACGCGAGGGTGCGAACCGATAACGACAGCAATAAATAACAGACGCGTGTACATCAACGTGCTAGTTTCGTGGAAATGACAAATCGTCAACGCGCGATTATGTTTCCGGTCACGATGCTTTAATCCTTGTATTGAAGGTTCTATTGAGTTGTCTCATAAGTAATGTCGCATTTTCTCAATAGATGGCAGTCTTTTGTTTCTCCGTGACAAGGCAGTGTTTCTAACCTATTAGGTTAAATTAGGTATAATCGTATGTCAGCCATTGAATCATCTAATTCTTAAAAGATTAGTTAAAAGAAAGCATTGAGTTTGCATTACATTTTTGTTTGGTTTAATCTTGCAGTGTTTCTAACCTATGTGATATAATCGTGTCAATCGTTGACACTTTAAAAGCTTAGTTAAAAAGAAGCATCAAGTTTGGATTACATTTTTTTGCAGTGCTTCTAACCTGTCAGGTATAATCGTATGTCAATCGTTGACACTTTAAAAGATTAGTTGAAAGAAAGCATTAAGTTTGGATTACATTTTTTTTTTTTCAGTGACGAATCTACAGAACAGAAACTGAAAAAGACAGAAAACAGTACAGAAAATTTTGTGAATCGATATGATGATTGCCTCGGAAGAACGTAAAAAGGTATTTTTCTCATTTCCACGCAAAATAAAGATTTTATAGCGAATATTAGACATTTATTCAGAACTAAAAATGCACGTATAATAATCTTTAAATTATAGGTCCATGGATTCGCGGATCGCTCCTCGGACCGAAAGGGTTGATTAATTAATTAATTCAGCAACTCCAATATTGTTCCGCGAAATTGAAATGTACACAGTGAGATTGCTACACGACGAAAATTCAAAATCTACAGAAGGTTCTACTGTATTAAATGCACAACTTAAGCACAACGGTAAGTTAAGGAAGGTTTTCAATTTACTCAATTCGTTTGAGGGAAGTTCCTTGAGTCACTCGACGCGAACGAATCGTAAACGTAATTATTATGTCAATAATTTTCACAAAATCACACGAATGAATATTCGAAGTGTCTGACGACGACGAAATCCTCTTTGTCAGATTAATTATGAGAGCTATAATTATTCGTGGTAAATTGATGGACGAGTGGGGCAAGAAATTCTTCGCGAGTTCATTCTCGGCTGTCGTTGTATGCGAAACGCATGGTAAATACGCGGAGCGACATGAATTATGCGGATACTTTGGCACACAAGTTTGTCTATTACGCTCCATCATTTCTCGAGCACATAACGGCGTTCGGTCTATCTTTTCTTCATGCATCGAGTCCCCCTTCTTTCAACAGCTATTAAGAACGATTCAAGAAGATTATTGTGCGCCAAGTTCAACAAATTTCGGCCCATTATTTCATTCTTCTCCGTGGAAATTTCTGACATTGGATCGTCCAAGTAGTGTGAATCTGTTTTATGACTGTCTTGACGGCACGAGTCGTGAGCTTAGAAACGAGCTCAGCAGCTTTTGCGCATAATTCAGAAAAGAGTGTCTTGCGTTGAACGTGACTTTTGAATCTTACTTTATTTCTTTGCGGTCTTTCCCGTTTCTTTCTCAGTAGAAATTTCCTATCTAAGTAGTACGAGTCAACGACCTCCCCGTTAAAACAGCCAGGCAGAATTTAAGAAGAGTATATTTTGTATTATGTAACAAATCTTGCTTCTTCTGTGCAGAAATTTTCTTGATGTTTGGCTGTCTAAAGCAGCCACGAATTCTTTTTTTTTGTAGTTTATTGTCTCATTTCTTTCAGCAGAAATTTTTGATGTTGAATCGTCTAAGTAGTACGAGTCAGTGTCTCCTGCATTTAAAATCCATCCGGGAATAGTTCAAGAGGTAAATGTAAATCTTGCTTTCTTGCAATCCGTTATTCCGTGTTAGTCAATGGAATACTCTTGATATTAAATTATCTAAGTAACGCGAATCAATAACAATCCATTTAATTGAAACGCAAGCAAATCCAATTTGCATTATAATAACGAGGAAATCATTGATCAAATGACTCACAATAATCAGATTCTTCCCATTCGATGTTGTTTGTGTCCCCCCCCCCCCTTCTCCATTCAAGTAGTACAGGTCAACGATATAATGCAAAATTCATTAATATTTCTGTGGCGCGGCAATATTTGGGAAATCATCGTTTAAATAAGCCAAAGGGAATTTACCAGATTCCCCTATCCTGTTTCACCCAAGTAGTGCGAATCAATAATAACATGGCAGACCGAAATATAAACGAATCTGGGTAATATATCCAAATTACATTAACGTTAACGAGGAAACCGTTGATCAAACAGCTGCGAACATTATAATCAGATCTTTCTGTTCCACGCTGTTCGCATCACACAAGTTGTATAACTCCGTGACATTGTTATTAAAGTTAATAACGTCAAAGCGTGCCGCGACTGTCGGACAGTAATTGCCATCACAAACACGGAGTCGTCAGCCGAGTAATAGAAACGAGGTTATTAGATTCCTCTGTACCGAACCTGCTACCTCTCATTTGAGTAGCACGGGCCGGTATAATGATACATTCAACAACGCTGCGTTAAAATATCGGGAAGCTCCGACGAATAATTGTAAAACCATTGTTCAAACGAGACAAATTAAATTCCCAGGTCTTGTGCACGATTTTATGCAAGTGGTACGAGTCAATGATAAATGATTAATCGATTTCGGCCGAGGTCGAAATGAATCCTGCAACAAGGTTGAAAAGTGTGTAACGACGAACAAGTTATTAACTAAATGCAGTGTTTATTGTTCGATGCGAACATCACGGCTCGACGATATTGCGTCGAACTCAAATATAACGCGATATCAGAGGACCCGAGCGTTGCATTCTCGAAATAAGACAAATATTATCGAGATAGAAGTAAATCTGTATAAAATGTGTAACAATAATGAACAAATAATCAATTAAATGCAGCGTTCAATTCGAACATCACGGCTCGATGTAGATTGCGGGTCTTGCACCCGAAATTAACACTTTCGCGGATCATATTCACCTTCTTTTGCCAATAAAATTCACCCTTTTGCAAATCAAATTCACTTTATTACTTTCTTCAGTGACGAATTCTGTTGAAAAAGTTTTTTCAAAAATTGAATTCCGTGCTAGAGATATTTTCACTGATCCTTTAAATTATGAACGTTTAGTGGACGTTGTTGAAACTATCGCTCCTAGATTATTAATTATTAATTACTTATTATGTATGTAAAACTGCATATGCGTGTACAAATACTTTTAAAGTTAAATGAATATTTTTTGTTCATTTTGTATCATTTTAGGTTGCTTTCATACACTGAAAGTTTCATTTCGGAATAACGAATTTACATCGGTTTTTGTTTTTGCAACGATGCGTTGAGAAAACGAATCCACGGAGAAACTCGAAACTTTGGCCAGCGAAAAAGATTAATTTACGGTGCATCGTATTGCAGGATCCGAGCGTTGCAATAATAATTACATCCTCGAAATAAGACGAACAAATAAGACGAATAAGATCGTCGCGTTGCACGCCCAGTGCGTCGAGCCCAGTTCCGAAGTAGCATGAGTCGATGATAATACCGTAATCGCGAAATTACACGGAAACAGTACATGTAATATGTATAACGTTTCGAATCCGGGCATTATCTACTCGAACGGATCCATCGGAACGAGTAAATAATAGGATATCAAGCGAAACTCTGGCGATCTTGCGGAAATTTCACGAATCCTCCGATCGGCTAATTAGTCGGACGGGATGGCGTTATCGCGATATTACTCGCGCGATGGAAATCGTGGATTCAAATAGCCATGGGGAACGTGAACGCGGGTGAAAGAGATAGATAGATAGATAGATAGATAGATAGATAGATAGATAGATAGAGAGAGTGAGAGGGAGAGAATCCACGACGAAAACAGCGTGTAACGCCGGTACCGGGACAATGGTACGTTTGATTCGGTTAATGAATACTTGTCGAGCGCGGATTATCGTGTGCTTATCAGCGTGAAATATGATCGCGTCGGTGGACACGACACGATTCGCAAACAAACGGATCGGGCTTGCAAATACCGCGTACCGGTTAACCTTTTAGGAGAGCGGGACAATTGTTGGAAATGAACAATGAGAGAGAATGAGAGAGAAAGAAGGTGGGAGAGAACGATTTCAGGGTTGAAAAGCGTTGGCGATTTTAAATATCGCCTCGTCATCGTCCGACAGGACAATCCTTCATCCCTGCCACTGACAAAATTTTCAGAAATATCGCGGATTTTGACGACGAGCCATCCTCCCGATTGCTTACGATTGTGTCGTGTTTCCCGTTACCGTGGATGATCGATGAAAAGCTTTTTCAACGGATCGGATTATAACTCGGCTGGAGCTGACAGATAGTCAAGGTCGTGCCTCTGATGGTCCGTGGCAGACGAATTGAAAAGTTCGATTGTTGTTTTCAAGAATGGGAGGGAGGCGACGGTATGAAAAGCTGGGAGATATGAAGGATTGATCACTTATTGTCGGAGTTAACAGGTATTGCTCGGTATTAATTTGAACGGTCGAGGCTTTCGCAGTGTCTTCAACGTTGAAACTGCCAGCGATCGAGCTACAAAATTTGTGCCGGAAAAATTTAAAAAGCAAGAAGTTTGTGGCACGTCGAAGATCGAGACGAGAAATTCATACGCCGAGAATTTGTCCTGTCGTCCAGCAAGCATTTCCATACTCAAACCCAAATCGAGTTTGAAAGAACGATTCAAAATCGTACGAGAACGAATGCTATCTATCGATCCCCTCGGAATTTCTTCAAATCAGTCCCGTCCATCGAATCACTATGGGCCACCATCTACCACGATGATCCAAATGAAATCCAATATAGCACGGGACACGCAATATCCTCCTCCGGAATCTTTACAAGGAAACATCGGTACAACCATCTCGACTTTCCCCAAATCCAAAGGCAACCGCTTGCGACGTCATATCCGGCACCATCACGTCGAGATCACCATCCTTTCCCTCCCTCGATCGATCTGCGTGCCGAAACATCGACAAGATTCAAAAATCAGACGAGAATCAATTCTATCGATCCCTTACGGGAATCCTCGTCCTCGACCTCGTCTCCTCTCACCTCACCTCACCTCACCTCACCTCGCCACGCCTCGCCTCGGCGAGTCACTCCTATGTGACCCAGAATCTCGAACTTTCCCGATAGAATTCCTCGCATTGTATCTCACGTCGAGGAGACAGCGCGCGTGTGTGCCGCCGAGGGACAGGAAGTTAGGCGAGAACCGCGAGAGTGCATCGAATGAGATCGATTTTCCTTTAATGTCGTCGCGTTGGTCGGGCACGCACACACGCACACACACATACACACGCGCGCGCGCGCGCGCGTGATCAGGCCCCTCGAGGTCGACCGATGAATAAAAATGTTCGCTGTCGGGCGTCCACAGTGTTCGAAGTCTCGATTCAACGGCCGAACTGTGTCGCTACGTTTCACCCTTCCGTCTAACGATGCCAGATTAAATGGACTTCCTGTTTCGCGAACTTCCTAGGTCTTCGTGACCTCATTGTCGCGCTCGTGATTGTTTCAATCGGGTGGTTAATCATTGTTTCCTTCTTTCTTTTCCAGATCGAAGGACTATTGGTCGATGATAATTGAAAAATGTATCCCGGCGAGGTAGTTTCGCGAGGATCGAGTTATTTTACGTGGAGATGTGCAGTGAGGCGCACAAGATGAAACGTGAGTAGGCTCGCTTCTCTTAACATTTCGTTGATCATTTTCTTTCAATGTATATTCGAGGATCGAGAAAATAGTTTCTGGCGTGATACGGTCTTTTAAATTTTAGAATCAAGTGGAAATATTTTAGTAAAAGCAAAGAAATTTTTGTTCTTATATGATAGTTGAACATTCTTTCAATAATATCTTCCCAGAAATATAAATTGTTTTTTTTATAAAATAAACGTGTATAATTAATACTAGAATTAAAACACAAAATTTCCATCAGAGACGTTAAATTAAAAAAAAAAAAGTAAATTTTACGAAAGATCATTTAACTCTCTAAAAATACAGTGTTTTGCATCTAACAAAATTTTTAACAAAAATTATACGTTATTATTGATTATTTCGACTACTCTGACAGTTCTGGCGTTAGTTTACTTTCTAAAATCAAGCAAGGAAACAGGGAAAACAATTTTGTAGCACAGGATTCATTAATACCATGCATCGATCATCGTCCTAATACGGGATTTCCAATTTTCCGACAATATTATGGGATCTAGAACGGACTTGATTCCGATGTTAGCACAGTGGTGAGCGATTTCGCTGGATCTCGGGCGATTTCACACCAACCGAAATCAGTCGTGCCGGTGAATAAGATGTTCGTCAGGGATCGACGAGTAAGATGAACGTCAGCCCTACGGATATGCGCGATAACTTCCACTCTCTCGCCAAGTCCAAAGTAAACGGCGATGTCTCGATAATGCATTTCAATCTGCTCCTCGATCATACATGAACTTGCGCGCCGCCCGCGTTTCAACTTTGAATTTTGTTCCCCCCCTCTCTCCCCGAATGAAATCGATAAACCGATGAATAAATTGTTGCGAACAGCGGAGTCATCTTATAAGCGGATCTAATTCTATAATTAAATAGACGAGTAAAATGGACAATTTCCATTACTCGTAGTAGGGCAGAGCCACTTCGAAGGGAACTTTCTTCTTTAATCGCTCTGCTGGAAATTTCGGAAATTAGGTAATCCATTAGCGAGGTTTAACTGTTTTGCGACAGAGTCTCACGAACAACGAGCACAAGGTACAAGTTTCGAGGTAATATCCACAGCTCGTGATCTGTGGATCACGAAACGAGGTTAGAAAACGGTGGCGTTTATTTTCGTGGCGATATTGAAATTTCTATTGACGCGTTTGAAACGTCCATTTAAAGAAGTTTCAGAAATTGTAATTCGTCAACGAGACTTGTTGATTGTTTATTTACCATTTTACTTGTATTATATATATTTGTTATATATTTTACTTTTATTTGTACCATTTTAGTATTTGGTAGATCACTATTTTAGCATTTAGTAGATACTATTTTATTAA